TGCGCTGTGTACTTGTGTGTGCGTGTGTGCGTGCAGGTGCTGAGGGCCGGGTTTGAGAGCGAATTCACTCTCCTACACTCTACCAGCCCATCGTATGTACCATACCTCCCTCTGTCTTGCCACGCTGTTCCTCTCCACTGCCTTATGATACACAAGGTGACTATTGAGTCGACTCAAAAGTCACCTCGCGGAGTTTGAGAGCAAGTTCACTCTCCTACACTCCAACAGCCCATCGTATGTACCGTGATACCTCCCTCTGTCTCCCCACGCCTTGAGGTGTATTTTGAGGCGCCTCAAAATACACCTTAATGAGAGCGAGTTCACTCTCCTCGTATGAACCCTGATACCTCCGACTGCCTCTCCACGCCATTCCTGTTGCTAAATGTACAACTGCGTGCTTGCTGCACTCTGCGCGCTGCGCTATTACTCTATTATACCCATGTTCATTGCCTATCACGCACCGCTCCCAACATGCCCGTTCACTTCCTCTCGCAAAACTTTGCTCTGGTGGTCATAGAGTGCCAGTAACAGCCTTTGTCAACTGCACGCACGTCGTAGTGCGTTGTCATTCCCCATGCTCCGTCGTTCCCCATGCTCTCCCCTTCCCCCCCTCCCCCTCTCCCGTCCCCAGCATGACCCCTGTGGATCGCACGCTCTACTGCTCCGCGCTGGCGTTTGACGAGCAGGCAGAGCTGATGGGTGCCATGGTGACCGCACTGCATGGCATGGGCATACCCGTGGAGCAGGTGGGGGATTGTGTGACGTGGGCATATAGCATTGTGTGTATGTATGTGTGTGTCACAGAGCTGATGGGTGGCATGCAGGCGGCTCTGCAGGGCATGAAAATACCCGTGGAGCAGGTGGGTGGAGTGAGGGGGGGAGGTGTGACGCGGGAATATAGCATGGTATGTGGAAGCATGAGTGATGCAGTTGATGGGGGCCATGGTGGCAACTCTAGTTTGCTTTTTCTCAAGAATCAATCGAACTGTCTTGTTCGCGCATTGCAATACCATGGCTTTTGTCGGCGTATCGCCTAGCCCTTCTTGCCCCACTCCTTTACGCACTCTCCCATCCTCATTCCCTCACTCATCAATCCCTCACCTCCTTAACCCTCACCCCCTCACTCCCTTAATCCCTCAATCCCGCATTCAGTCCATCCTTTCCTCCCGTTCTCTGTCTCACAGCTTCACCCGGAATCGGGTGGAGGGCAGTTTGAGATAGCTGTAGGGCATGCAGCTGACGTGGCAGCAGCTGATAGGATCCTGCTTGTTCGGGAGGCGATCTCAGGGGTGGTGCGGAGAGCAGCAGCCGCAGGGGCGGGGAGTGGGGAGGTGGAAGGCACGAGCAGCAAGCGGAGCAGCACACCCACTCATGTCACCTTCCTTCCTCAGTCAGTTCCTGACCACTTTCTCATGTCACTTTTATCCTCCTCTTGCAAAGCTTTTGCTTCAATCCTCCTCTGAAAAGCCTCCTCGTACAATCCGCCTTGTACGCTCTTCCTCTCAACCCCTTTCAAGGTCCCAGTCAGCCCGCCCCTCGAATCTCCATCCAACCTGTTCCTTGCTCATTCATCCTCTCTGCATCCTCTCTGCATTCCCCATCTCGTCCTCTCTCAGAGTCTTCCCTCGCGACGCAGCCAATGGCAGCCACGTCCACGTCAGCATATGGCGGGAGGTCACTGGTGGTGCTGATGCGTCATCATCATCAACAGCAGCAACAGAAACCTCCGCGGGTGCACCGATCCTGGTGTCAGAGGGTGGGCGCACGTACGTCAACGCGTTCGCAGCTACGGGGCAAGCGAGAGAAGGCGGGCAGGCAGAGCAGCAGGGGGGGCAGCAGGGCATGTCGGAGGAGGGGCAGCAGTTCATGGCAGGGGTGATGGCGCACCTGCCCTCCATCATGGCAATCTCGTGCCCGCTTCCCAACAGGTACGGGTTTCTCTCGTGCCCTCTGCCCCACAGCTACAGAGCAGGGAGAGCAGGAAAGAGTGCAGCAAGGCATGTCAGAGGAGGGGCGGCAATTCATGGCTGGCGTGATGGCGCACCTGACCTCCATCATGGCTCTCTCCTGCCCCCTGCCCAACAGGTGCACTTTCCTCTCATGTTCTCCTTCAATTTCATTTATCCCTCGCGCTTTCCAGGCATTACCCTCCCTCTCATCCCCACAATTTTCCCCAATTTCCTGCTGAATAGTGCGCTGCGCTTTCTTCAAAATCTCATTCGCACAAGCTCTCACCTCCCTTGCTTTTTGAATTCTGAATTTTGCGTTGCTCACTCACAGCTACGAGCGCCTGGGCCCCAACAAGTGGTCAGGTTCCAGTGCTGGGGGCACGTTAACTGCGAGTCAACTGCCATGAGCTAACTCCCTATTCCCCAGCTCCTCAACTCCCATTCACACATCCCACCCCGGTTTCCCTCCATTTGGCTGTGTTTTACACACAGCTACGAGCGCCTGGGCCCCAACAAGTGGACAGGCGCCTTCCAGTGCTGGGGGCACGAGAACCGCGAAGCAGCTGTCAGAGTTGCTGCTCCCCCCACCCATGCTGCTGATGGAGCCGCTGGTGATGCAGGCGCGCCTGCAGCATTCCTAGTGACCAACTTCGAGGTGAAGGCGTGTGACGCGTGCGCCCAGCCGCACCTGGTGCTGGCTGCAATTATTGCTGCCGGCATGGATGGGCTGGAGCAGAAGATGCCGCTGCCGGCACCCATTGGTACGTGCCCAGGAGTGTGGGGTTGTATGCATGATTCCATGGCTATGTGGAGGTGTGTGATCCGTGCATTCAGCTGCACCTGGTGCTGGCTGCATTTATTGCTGCGGGCATGGATGGGCTGGAGAAAAAGCTGCTGCTGCCGGAACCTATAGGTATGTGGCCCTTGGTGTGGAATTGTAGGTGTGATCCCATGGGTATATGGAGTGGGGGCATGTGATACGTGCATTCAGCCAGCCGCACCTGATGCTGGCAGCCGTCATTGCTGCTGGCATGCATGGGCTGAACAAGAAGATGGCATCACCTGTTGGTATGTGCACCAGGAGTGTCTGTGGGGTGTGGGAGGGGTTATTGGGAGAGAAATGGGAGGAAATGGGGAGGGGTGGGTAGGATGTGATGTGACGGGGTTGTGATTTCATGGGGTGCGTGTGCTCAGCTGCAATCCATGCTGTTGCCATGGATGGGTATGGGTTGGAGCGGAAGCTGTCACTGGTGGAAGGAACCTACTGGCACATGCCTGCAAGCCATGATATGCATGGTACAAGAGTATAATGCATGTGATGGATGCGATATGATGTGACATGGGTGATACGTGGTGAGACGCACGTGTATGTATGCATGCTTGGTGCTAGCGCCAATCGTTCCCTCCTGATGTTTCACCAAGGAGGACTCTCTCCTAGTTTGAAATCACTTTTGAGAATTCTCAAAAGTGATTTCAATATCTCCTAGTTTTTCAACTTCTTCTTAACCTCCACGCCTGCCACCCTCCTGCCACCCCCCCGTGTCATCCTCCACTGGACTGATTCCCCACCCACACCTCGTTCCACCCCCTACCACTCCCCTCCATCCCTTCAGACGTGAACCCAGCTGACCTTCCCGCCGACTCTGCGCCCCCTCGCCTGCCTGCATGCCTGGAGGAGTCACTAGCGGCCTTTGAGGCGGATGCTGTCCTGCAAGCAGCACTGGGGGAGGCCATGGTGCAAGCGATTGTGGCCGTGCGCAAGGTGAGACCTGGGGAGGGAGCTTCAGGGGAGGGTGTGTCAGGGCAAGCTATCCTGATCCATCCTGACTGGAGGGGTCACCGGCAGCCTTTGAGGCGGATGCTGTTATGCGGGCAGCACTGGGGTGGGGCATGGTGCAAGCGATTGTGGCCGTGTGCAAGGTGAGACCGGGGGGGAAAGGCATGGCATGGTGCAGGAAGTTGTGGCAGTGCGCAACGGTGTGGTAGGGAAGGGTGTGAAGGGGCAAGGTGGCCGCTCTGCCTGCCAGCCTGCCTGGAGGGGTCACTGGCGGCCTTTGAGGCGGATGCTGTCTTGCGAGCAGTACTGGGGGAAGAGATGGCGCAGGCGATTGTGGCCGTGCGCAAGGTGAGACCTGGGGAGGGTGTTTTGGGGTAGTTGCATCAGGGGAGGGTGTTTTGGGGTAGTTGCATCAGGGGAGGGTGTACAGAGGAGGGTATATCAGGGGAGGGTGACCACCAAAGGAGGGGTGCTTTGATGTGCTGAGGGAGAGAGGAGCTGGGAGATGCGCCGGTGCATGCAATGCTGGTAAGTCTGTGCTGGCTGCATGCAGGGGTGAGGTCTGGGAAGGGTACAGCTGGAGAAAGCACCAGCTGGGCTAGCACCAGCTATCTTGGAAGAAGATGCTGCGATCAAAGAGAGAGAGGCTATGGGGGAACGAAGGGGCAGGGAAGCGTGGCTGTGTGTGCAGTCAGTAATGGTGGATGTCCCACTTCCCCATGCCCCACTGCCGCACCCACCACTAGTGCATGCCCCTCTGCCTATGCAAGGGTGCCCCAGGTGCCCCAGTGCTCTATTCCCCTGTGAATCGGCTGTCACGTGTGAGTCCTGAAAAGTGAGAAACTGGCAGATGCTGCTGTGAAATTGGGAATTGAAATTAGATTGTGCCTCTCATAAAAAAGGTCTTATGCCCTCTTTCCCTATCAAATATCTTCTCTCCATCTTACATTCCACTTCCTTCCTCCTGTCTCCTCATTCATCAATCTTCTCTCCCTCCCCCATCCCTTCACCCTTGACGCCATCAGGCTGAGATTCAGCATTACACAGGAAGAGCATCCATGGCTAACCAGCTTGTGATGAAATATTAAAGATACCTAATCACTAGATCTGTTATGTATCCTGTATCACTTTGTGTATTGAGGCTATTGGCTTGATGTTGTTATACATCCAACGGCAAAACACGTTTCATGCACAGGGAAGTGAATGACTGAGTCAAAATCTGTACATCCTTATGTGTAAAACCCATGGCATTTTTATATACAAATGCTATGACCCTACTCCTCGTCGTTGATGAACTTCCCTGTACCGGGGTTTATAGCCGCGACGAAGAAGAACACGATACTCGCCAACAGCAGCGGCTCCAACTCAAAAATCGGCAACCCAGTCTCGATATTCAGCTGCGCCAGAGCACCTCTCCCAGTAATTACCTCGCCAACCAAGCTCGCCGCAAACCCTAATTGCGCCATGCGCCCCACGAAAAGCTCATTTGCCTTGGTAAACCCGAACAGGGGTCCCTCCTCACTCAGTCCTAGAGCGGCCTTGAAACTGCCGGGCTTCACGGGCGGCCCGGCAGGCGCCTCGTCATCGACGAATCGTCCGCGGTCGCCCAGCCCGCCGATCGCGCCGAGCACGGTGAATGCGATGAATAAGAGGAGCAGCGGCTCGGCTTCCGTGATGGGGATTCCGGTTTCGAGGTTAAATTGCGATAGGATTCCTTGACCGGTAACGGCTTCGCCAAGGAGCGACGCTGCAAATCCGAGCATCGCCACGCGGCCGACGAAAAGTTCGTTCGCTTTCGTGAAGCCGAAGCCGCCGGATGTGCCGAAGATGCCATCTTCGGTGCGGAGTTGCTTCTTGACAGGAGTGGTTTTAGCGGGGACGGCGGATTTGTTGAAGCCTAGGAGGGCGGTGACACCTGGCCTGCAGGGAGCAATGGCGGAGGTGCCTGCTAGGCGATGGATTGGAATTGAGGCGCCTTTGCCGGCTGTGCTAACAGAGAGAGCAGAGAGCGATTGGAGAGCGATTAGGGAGGAAGCCATTGCGGATGAGTAGTGAAAAAGAGTGGTAGTTCGAGCGAAAGGTATCGCTGTGATGCTGAAATGGAAGAATTGAACTGAAGACAGACATGAGAATTTGTACTATTTTTGCCGAGCCGCGGATAGGATTTTCTTTGGTGCGAATCGGTCTCAAGTCCTGAAACAACAGAAATTCACTGCGAGACGTGGCTGCCCATCTGGAACGCCACGGTGGATGGTCCGATTCAGCGTTTGCCAGAATTGAGACAGAGGTTCAGCCGCGTGTACCTTTTGTTACCATCGATTTCGTCAACAAGCGGAAGAAGACGAAAACGCCCCAAGTCAGATCTCTGACTAAAGGATGTTCGGAATATGGCCTTAAAGGAACGAACCCGAATTGCTCAACGGAAGTCAACGCTGGAAAATAGGTTTGGGAAAGCAGCGAAAATAGGTTCGGAAACCTCCCCTAAGCCCTGCTAACCCGAAACCAGCAGGAGTGCTTCACAAACTGGCCCCAGTTTGTGAAGGCTTCTTTGTAATTCGGGGGCTGGGCTTTAACGCCCTGAACATTAAGGTCTGCATTTGCTCCAGGGTCCGAATTCTCAAGGTTGATTTTTTGTACAGCCCTGAATTCTAACGGGCGTGGGAAGGGCCTTCCCCTGATTCTTACAGGAGGCACTTGAGGGGATTCCCTGAATCCCCGTGGAAGTTCCGGGTCCTACCCGGAAGCGTTCACAGCTTTTCTCCACTCCTCCCCCCCTCCTTCTCTTCTCACTTCCCAACCCATCCCATCCCGGCAGGAAGATAGTTTCATTTGCCGCCAAGTCAGAGAGAGCACTCGCGTGACTCGTCAGAGGTGTTAAGTGCTGGCCTGAGGGATTACCATACACCCTGAATGTTGAAGTGTGGCCCTGAATTCAAGTTTTAAGTTGATGGCTTTCCCGGAGGCCACTTCCCGGGAATTTCAGGGTTGAAATCCGGGGACCTCAGACTCTCAAGTGTTGGCCTGGAACCAACCGACAGCTCTGGTTCGGAGTGGCTTCTGGATTCCAGAATCTGGAACCTTTTTTGCCCATACAGTGGCGTCTAAAGTGCCGTTGACCGCCTGTGACCTGATTTGTTGGACGGAATCGGAAATCTAGGGTCCACCACAACCAGCCTTGATCTGTTTTTCGCGTCTTATTACAATGCGTGATTGTTTACAAGAAAACTCTCGTCTGATATAATCCAGCCATATGCTGAGCGAAGTAGAAACCTATGCAGACGCAGTATACGGAGCACAACCAGGAACGGGGTGCTAGGAGGGGGGGGGGGAAGGGGGGGGGGGGGGGGGGGGGGGGGGGGGTGATATTGGTGTTTGACATGGTTCATGCGCGCAACTGTGCTAAGGAACATTCTGTGTTATTTATCGCTTTAGAACACCGCGCACCATATGTAACCTCATAAAGTATACTATGTAAATTGTGCTTGGGCAACTTCCCTTCGGCGGTATCTTTGAGCTTTCAATTTCTCGCTGTAATAGGTTGAAATCTAGCATTACACAGAAATAGCATCCATGGATAATCAATTTGCACTGAAATATTAGGTTATTTTATTTTCTTTGCTTTTGGTTAATTATAACCTGGTCAATCTGTGTATAAGCTTGTGCTATCTTTGAGAGGTGCAGTACCAGTAATTGATAGTAGAGTGCAAGCTAGCAAACACACATCATACCTCATGAATACTTTGTCAGCAGGCGCATACAGTCGTGTTTAAGCAAAAGACGGTATATTGTTCAAAAGCTGAGGTAGTGAATGTGTACGAGCAAAGCCAAAACCTACAGTAATCTATTTACATGTTCTAAGATCCTACTCGTCATCATTGATGAACCTTCCTGTACCGGGGTTAATAGCCGCGACGAAGAAGAACACGATACTCGCCAGCAGCAGCGGCTCCAACTCAAAAATCGGCAGCCCAGTCTCGATATTCAGCTGCGCCAGAGCACCTTTCCCAGTGATCACCTCGCCAACCAAGCTCGCAGCAAACCCTAATTGCGCCATGCGCCCCACGAAAAGCTCATTTGCCTTGGTATACCCGAACAGCGGCCCGTCCTCGCTCAGTCCAAGCGCAGCCTTGAAACTGCCAGGCTTCACGTGCGACCCGGCAGGCTCCTCGTCATCGACGAATCGCCCGCGGTCGCCCAGCCCGCCGATCGCGCCGAGCACGGTGAATGCGATGAAGAAGAGGAGCAGCGGCTCGGCTTCCGCGATGGGAATTCCGGTTTCCAGGTTGAGTTGCGAGAGGATTCCTTGCCCGGTAATGGCTTCGCCAAGGAGCGACGCGGCGAATCCGAGCATCGCCATGCGGCCGACGAAAAGTTCGTTAGCTTTCGTGAAGCCGAAGCCGCCGGATGTGCCGAAGATGCCATCTTCGGTGCGGAGTTTCTTCTTAGTGGGTGTGGTTTTAGCGGGGACGGCGGATTTGTTGAAGCCTAGGAGGGCGGTGACACCTGTCCTGCAGGGAGCAATGGCGGAAGCGACTGCTAGGCGATGCGCGGAAAGTGAAGCCCCTTTGACGGCTGTGCTGAAGGAGAGAGCCGAGAACGATTGCAGGGCGACGAGGGAGGAAGCCATTGCGATTTACTGATGGAGGAAGAGCGAAACCTCTGAGATTTGAAGTAAGTGAGGTTGATACAATCTTGACGACGAAGGGAACTTATGATGTTTGCGGGCTCAAGTCCTGAAAGGCAACAGACATTCATTGTGAGACGTGGCTGCCCAACTGTTCTGCCACGGTGGATTGTCCGAATCATCATCTGGCATATTTGGGACGTATAACCAGCCGCGTGGACCTTCTGCTACCATTGATGTCGTCAACGAGCAGAAGAGAGGACGAAAACGTCCCACGTCAGATCTATAACTCCAAGGGTGTGAAGGGTCTCACGTGGCTTCTGGAACTTCTTGAGGCTACCCATTGCCAACATCAGCGTGGTTGACTGACTTTGACCTGATTTGCTGGACGGAAGCAAGCAATGCGAAGCTGATTTGTTTGTGATTGTGACACACAAGCATTCGCCAGCTGTTCGCGCTTATAACAATGCGCTATTATTGGAATGAAACTTCTGCCTGGAAATCATCCAGGCCATATGCATCGGTAGAATAGCGATCCACAAATACGCTGACACAAAAAATGGAGCGTGGTCGGAACCCGCGATTAAAGCAAGGGTGCACATTCGGGGGGGTGGTTTTTGGGGATATTGTCATGTACACCCTAGCAGGGCCAGTGATTCGCTAACGAAATTTGGATCGGGTTGTATGCTTGGTGCGAGTTGACGACACCTCACTAGCGAGGTCTATTGAAATCGCCCAGTGTTTGGGGGAACTCACAGAGAGGGGTTGGGCGGAACGCCTGCCCCTTGCGCTCCCAAAAAGCGAACTCACTGAAAATGCCCCCGTCAGTGCGCGAGTCACCTCAGCAGTAGATTTGAAGCACGCAAATCCCAGCCCGTAGGGACTGAGGAAACGGCGATCCAAACGGCGCTCCTATCACTACGACTTGGTTAGTAAGCAGGGATCTAACAGCCTCGCACGAGTTCCGCGTTTCAATCTTACGTGCGTAAGGCCACACTTCGAGTAGATCGCAGCGACGCCAGTCAGTGCGGCGAGGGGCGAACGGGTCGAGAGGATTTTGATGCTGTGGTTGAACCACTACCTCGCCGTGTTTATAGCGCCGTGCACACCCGCCGCGACGGCTAATGTCCTCCGCTGTGCATCACTCCCGCGCCCTGCGTCATGCACTGCCCCATGACACTAACAAAGCCGCCAATAAGCAGTCACGCCTTCCGTAGAGGCACAGTGTAAGGTGCGATGACCAAAAATCCACAGCATTACCACGTCGCGACGAAGTGGTAGGAGGGTCGGGTGCAAGGCGTGGCGGCCTCACATCCTCGTCGCCTCCGCGCACGGGCTTTGCCCCCCCGTCCACACAACGCCTGCGAGCCGCGTAGCACACTCGTCGACAGGGCGTCGTAGCCTCGCACGTTAAATAGCCGACTCCCCGCCACGCCTACAGGTTGCCGCCTGTCGTATCGCAGCCGCATCGCCCAGAAGGCACACATGCCCCCACCTTCTTCCCCTCTCAGTTCAGTGCCTCCCCTCTCTCATCCCGTCCACCCCTCACCACTCCCTCCCTCCCCTCTCTCATCCGTCCTCCCTCTCTAGTCCCTCACTCTCCTCTCCCATCCCGTCCTCTCCTCTCGCATCCCTCCCGTCCCTCTCTCCTCCCATCCCCCCCTCTCTCATCCGTCCCTCTCCTTTCTCATCCCGTCCTCTCCTCTGTCAACCCTCACTCACCTCTCTCGTTACGGCCTCCCCTTTCTCATCCATCCCTCTCCACAATTATCCCGTCCTCGCCTCACTCATCCCTCCCTCTCCTTTCCCATCCCGTCCTCTCATCTCATATCCCTCACTCTCATCTCTGTTCCCTTCCTCCCCCTCATACCCTCCTCTCCGAGTTCAGCCCTTCTCATCCCCCTCTCTCCTCTCAGGACCGTGTCCACCTCCCTCTCCACTATCATCTCGTCCTCTCCTCTATCATCCCTCCGTCTACTCTCTCATCCCTCCCATCCCTTTCTCCTCCCGTCCCACACTCTCTCATCCCTCCCTCTCCATTCTCATCCCGTACTCTCCTCTCTCGTCACGGCCTCCCCTCTCCCATCCCGTCCTCTCCACTAGCATCCCGTCCTCCCCACACTCATGCCTCCCTCTCCTTTCCCATCCCGTCCTCTCGCCTGTAATCCCTCGCTCTCATCTCTCATCCCTCGCTCTCATCTCTCGTCCCTCACTCTCATCTCTCATCCCGTCCTCCCCCTCTCATCCCTCCATCTATCGTCCCTTCCTCCGCTCTCTCATCCCGTCCTCCCCTCTCTCCTCCCGTCCTCTCCTCTCTCCTCCAGTCCTCTCCTCTCCCATCTCGTCCTCCCCTCTCTCATCCACCCCCTCTCTCATCCACCCCCACTCTCATCCCTCCCTCGCCACGCTCATCCCGCGCCACGCCACGATGTGGGATCCCTGCCACCGCTGGGTGGCTGCCTCGCCACCCCGCTATTGCAATCGGCGCCACGCCGACGCGCCTCCTCAACGGCTTGCATCGTCCAGGTCGTGCCTCATCGCCTACGCCTCCACCGCCGCCTCGTTACCTCCAAGGATATAACCCGCTCCCACTTCCGTTCCCATCTCTCCCAAGGTCGCAACTCCCGCTTCCCCCGAGTCGCACTTCCCCTTTCCCCCGAGTCGCACTTCCCCTTTCCCCCGAGTCGCACTTCCCCTTTCCCCCGAGACGCACTTCCCCTTTCCCCCGAGTCGCACTTCCCCTTTCCCCCGAGTCGCACTTCCCCTTTCCCCCGAGTCGCACTTCCCCTTTCCCCCGAGTCGCACTTCCCCTTTCCCCCGAGTCGCACTTCCCCTTTCCCCCGAGTCGCACTTCCCCTTTCCCCCGAGTCGCACTTCCCCTTTCCCCCGAGTCGCACTTCCCCTTTCCCCCGAGTCGCACTTCCCCTTTCCCCCGAGTCGCACTTCCCCTTTCCCCCGAGTCGCACTTCCCCTTTCCCCCGAGTCGCACTTCCCCTTTCCCCCGAGTCGCACTTCCCCTTTCCCCCGAGTCGCACTTCCCCTTTCCCCCGAGTCGCACTTCCCCTTTCCCCCGAGTCGCACTTCCCCTTTCCCCCGAGTCGCACTTCCCCTTTCCCCCGAGTCACACTTCCCCTTTCCCCCGAGTCGCACTTCCCCTTTCCCCCGAGTCGCACTTCCCCTTTCCCCCGAGTCGCACTTCCCCTTTCCCCCGAGTCGCACTTCCCCTTTCCCCCGAGTCGCACTTCCCCTTTCCCCCGAGTCGCACTTCCCCTTTCCCCCGAGTCGCACTTCCCCTTTCCCCCGAGTCGCACTTCCCTTTCCCCCGAGTCGCACTTCCCCTTTCCCCCGAGTCGCACTTCCCCTTTCCCCCGAGTCGCACTTCCCCTTTCCCCCGAGACGCACTTCCCCTTTCCCCCGAGTCGCACTTCCCCTTTCCCCCGAGTCGCACTTCCCCTTTCCCCCGAGTCGCACTTCCCCTTTCCCCCGAGTCGCACTTCCCCTTTCCCCCGAGTCGCACTTCCCCTTTCCCCCGAGTCGCACTTCCCCTTTCCCCGAGTCGCACTTCCCCTTTCCCCCGAGTCGCACTTCCCCTTTCCCCCGAGTCGCACTTCCCCTTTCCCCCGAGTCGCACTTCCCCTTTCCCCCGAGTCGCACTTCCCCTTTCCCCCGAGTCGCACTTCCCCTTTCCCCCGAGTCGCACTTCCCCTTTCCCCCGAGTCGCACTTCCCCTTTCCCCCGAGTCGCACTTCCCCTTTCCCCCGAGTCGCACTTCCCCTTTCCCCCGAGTCGCACTTCCCCTTCCCCCGAGTCGCACTTCCCCTTTCCCCCGAGTCGCACTTCCCCTTTCCCCGAGTCGCACTTCCCCTTTCCCCGAGTCGCACTTCCCCTTTCCCCGAGTCGCACTTCCCCTTTCCCCCGAGTCGCACTTCCCCTTTCCCCCGAGTCGCACTTCCCCTTTCCCCCGAGTCGCACTTCCCCTTTCCCCCGAGTCGCACTTCCCCTTTCCCCCGAGTCGCACTTCCCCTTTCCCCCGAGTCGCACTTCCCCTTTCCCCCGAGTCGCACTTCCCCTTTCCCCCGAGTCGCACTTCCCCTTTCCCCCGAGTCGCACTTCCCCTTTCCCCCGAGTCGCACTTCCCCTTTCCCCGAGTCGCACTTCCCCTTTCCCCCGAGTCGCACTTCCCCTTTCCCCCGAGTCGCACTTCCCCTTTCCCCCGAGTCGCACTTCCCCTTTCCCCCGAGTCGCACTTCCCCTTTCCCCCGAGTCGCACTTCCCCTTTCCCCCGAGTCGCACTTCCCCTTTCCCCCGAGTCGCACTTCCCCTTTCCCCCGAGTCGCACTTCCCCTTTCCCCCGAGTCGCACTTCCCCTTTCCCCCGAGTCGCACTTCCCCTTTCCCCCGAGTCGCACTTCCCCTTTCCCCCGAGTCGCACTTCCCCTTTCCCCCGAGTCGCACTTCCCCTTTCCCCCGAGTCGCACTTCCCCTTTCCCCCGAGTCGCACTTCCCCTTTCCCCCGAGTCGCACTTCCCCTTTCCCCCGAGTCGCACTTCCCCTTTCCCCCGAGTCGCACTTCCCCTTTCCCCCGAGTCGCACTTCCCCTTTCCCCCGAGTCGCACTTCCCCTTTCCCCCGAGTCGCACTTCCCCTTTCCCCCGAGTCGCACTTCCCCTTTCCCCCGAGTCGCACTTCCCCTTTCCCCCGAGTCGCACTTCCCCTTTCCCCCGAGTCGCACTTCCCCTTTCCCCCGAGTCGCACTTCCCCTTTCCCCCGAGTCGCACTTCCCCTTTCCCCCGAGTCGCACTTCCCCTTTCCCCCGAGTCGCACTTCCCCTTTCCCCCGAGTCGCACTTCCCCTTTCCCCCGAGTCGCACTTCCCCTTTCCCCCGAGTCGCACTTCCCCTTTCCCCCGAGTCGCACTTCCCCTTTCCCCCGAGTCGCACTTCCCCTTTCCCCCGAGTCGCACTTCCCCTTTCCCCCGAGTCGCACTTCCCCTTTCCCCCGAGTCGCACTTCCCCTTTCCCCCGAGTCGCACTTCCCCTTTCCCCCGAGTCGCACTTCCCCTTTCCCCCGAGTCGCACTTCCCCTTTCCCCCGAGTCGCACTTCCCCTTTCCCCCGAGTCGCACTTCCCCTTTCCCCCGAGTCGCACTTCCCCTTTCCCCCGAGTCGCACTTCCCCTTTCCCCCGAGTCGCACTTCCCCTTTCCCCCGAGTCGCACTTCCCCTTTCCCCCGAGTCGCACTTCCCCTTTCCCCCGAGTCGCACTTCCCCTTTCCCCCGAGTCGCACTTCCCCTTTCCCCCGAGTCGCACTTCCCCTTTCCCCCGAGTCGCACTTCCCCTTTCCCCTTTCCCCGAGTCGCACTTCCCCTTTCCCCCGAGTCGCACTTCCCCTTTCCCCCGAGTCGCACTTCCCCTTTCCCCCGAGTCGCACTTCCCCTTTCCCCCGAGTCGCACTTCCCCTTTCCCCCGAGTCGCACTTCCCCTTTCCCCCGAGTCGCACTTCCCCTTTCCCCCGAGTCGCACTTCCCCTTTCCCCCGAGTCGCACTTCCCCTTTCCCCCGAGTCGCACTTCCCCTTTCCCCCGAGTCGCACTTCCCCTTTCCCCCGAGTCGCACTTCCCCTTTCCCCCGAGTCGCACTTCCCCTTTCCCCCGAGTCGCACTTCCCCTTTCCCCCGAGTCGCACTTCCCCTTTCCCCCGAGTCGCACTTCCCCTTTCCCCCGAGTCGCACTTCCCCTTTCCCCCGAGTCGCACTTCCCCTTTCCCCCGAGTCGCACTTCCCCTTTCCCCCGAGTCGCACTTCCCCTTTCCCCCGAGTCGCACTTCCCCTTTCCCCCGAGTCGCACTTCCCCTTTCCCCCGAGTCGCACTTCCCCTTTCCCCCGAGTCGCACTTCCCCTTTCCCCCGAGTCGCACTTCCCCTTTCCCCCGAGTCGCACTTCCCCTTTCCCCCGAGTCGCACTTCCCCTTTCCCCCGAGTCGCACTTCCCCTTTCCCCCGAGTCGCACTTCCCCTTTCCCCCGAGTCGCACTTCCCCTTTCCCCGAGTCGCACTTCCCCTTTCCCCCGAGTCGCACTTCCCCTTTCCCCCGAGTCGCACTTCCCCTTTCCCCCGAGTCGCACTTCCCCTTTCCCCCGAGTCGCACTTCCCCTTTCCCCCGAGTCGCACTTCCCCTTTCCCCCGAGTCGCACTTCCCCTTTCCCCCGAGTCGCACTTCCCCTTTCCCCCGAGTCGCACTTCCCCTTTCCCCCGAGTCGCACTTCCCCTTTCCCCCGAGTCGCACTTCCCCTTTCCCCCGAGTCGCACTTCCCCTTTCCCCCGAGTCGCACTTCCCCTTTCCCCCGAGTCGCACTTCCCCTTTCCCCCGAGTCGCACTTCCCCTTTCCCCCGAGTCGCACTTCCCCTTTCCCCCGAGTCGCACTTCCCCTTTCCCCCGAGTCGCACTTCCCCTTTCCCCCGAGTCGCACTTCCCCTTTCCCCCGAGTCGCACTTCCCCTTTCCCCCGAGTCGCACTTCCCCTTTCCCCCGAGTCGCACTTCCCCTTTCCCCCGAGTCGCACTTCCCCTTTCCCCCGAGTCGCACTTCCCCTTTCCCCCGAGTCGCACTTCCCCTTTCCCCCGAGTCGCACTTCCCCTTTCCCCCGAGTCGCACTTCCCCTTTCCCCCGAGTCGCACTTCCCCTTTCCCCCGAGTCGCACTTCCCCTTTCCCCCGAGTCGCACTTCCCCTTTCCCCCGAGTCGCACTTCCCCTTTCCCCCGAGTCGCACTTCCCCTTTCCCCCGAGTCGCACTTCCCCTTTCCCCCGAGTCGCACTTCCCCTTTCCCCCGAGTCGCACTTCCCCTTTCCCCCGAGTCGCACGAGGCACTTCCCCTTTCCCCCGAGTCGCACTTCCCCTTTCCCCCGAGTCGCACTTCCCTTTCCCCCGAGTCGCACTTCCCCTTTCCCCCGAGTCCGCACTCTTCCGAGTCGCACTATCCCCCTTTCCCCCGAGTTCGCACTTCCCCTTTCCCCGAGTCGCACTTCCCCTTTCTTCCCCCGAGTCGCACTTCCCCTTTCCCCCGAGTCGCACTTCCCCTTTCCCCCGAGTCGCACTTCCCCTTTCCCCCGAGTCGCACTTCCCTTTCCCCCGAGTCGCACTTCCCCTTTCCCCGAGTCGCACTTCCCATTTCCCCGAGTCGCACTTCCCCTTCCCCCGAGTCGCACTTCCCCTTTCCCCCGAGTCGCACTTCCCCTTTCCCCCGAGTCGCACTTGCCCCTTTCCCCCGGTCGCACTTCCCCTTTCCCCCGGTCGCACTTCCCCTTTCCCCCGAGTCGCACTTCCCCTTTCCCCGAGTCGCACTTCCCCTTTCCCCCGAGTCGCACTTCCCCTTTCCCCCGAGTCGCACTTCCCCTTTCCCCCGAGTCGCACTTCCCCTTTCCCCCGAGTCGCACTTCCCCTTTCCCCCGAGTCGCACTTCCCCTTTCCCCCGAGTCGCACTTCCCCTTTCCCCCGAGTCGCACTTCCCCTTTCCCCCGAGTCGCACTTCCCCTTTCCCCGAGTCGCACTTCCCCTTTCCCCCGAGTCGCACTTCCCCTTTCCCCCGAGTCGCACTTCCCCTTTCCCCCGAGTCGCACTTCCCCTTTCCCCGAGTCGCACTTCCCCTTTCCCCCGAGTCGCACTTCCCCTTTCCCCCGAGTCGCACTTCCCCTTTCCCCCGAGTCGCACTTCCCCCTTTCCCCCGAGTCGCACTTCCCTTTCCCCCGAGTCGCACTTCCCCTTTCCCCCGAGTCGCACTTCCCCTTTCCCCCGAGTCGCACTTCCCCTTTCCCCCGAGTCGCACTTCCCCTTTCCCCGAGTCGCACTTCCCCTTTCCCCCGAGTCGCACTTCCCCTTTCCCCGAGTCGCACTTCCCCTTTCCCCCGAGTCGCACTTCCCTTTCCCCCGAGTCGCACTTCCCCTTTCCCCCGAGTCGCACTTCCCCTTTCCCCCGAGTCGCACTTCCCCTTTCCCCGAGTCGCACTTCCCCTTTCCCCCGAGTCGCACTTCCCCTTTCCCCCGAGTCGCACTTCCCCTTTCCCCCGAGTCGCACTTCCCCTTTCCCCCGAGTCGCACTTCCCCTTTCCCCCGAGTCGCACTTCCCCTTTCCCCCGAGTCGCACTTCCCCTTTCCCCCGAGTCGCACTTCCCCTTTCCCCCGAGTCGCACTTCCCCTTTCCCCCGAGTCGCACTTCCCCTTTCCCCCGAGTCGCACTTCCCCTTTCCCCCGAGTCGCACTTCCCCTTTCCCCCGAGTCGCACTTCCCCTTTCCCCCGAGTCGCACTTCCCCTTTCCCCCGAGTCGCACTTCCCCTTTCCCCCGAGTCGCACTTCCCCTTTCCCCCGAGTCGCACTTCCCCTTTCCCCCCGAGTCGCACTTCCCCTTTCCCCCGAGTCGCACTTCCCCTTTCCCCCGAGTCGCACTTCCCTTTCCCCCGAGTCGCACTTCCCCTTTCCCCCGAGACGCACTTCCCCTTTCCCCGAGTCGCACTTCCCCTTTCCCCCGAGTCGCACTTCCCCTTTCCCCCGAGTCGCACTTCCCCTTTCCCCCGAGTCGCACTTCCCCTTTCCCCCGAGTCGCACTTCCCCTTTCCCCCGAGTCGCACTTCCCCTTTCCCCCGAGTCGCACTTCCCCTTTCCCCCGAGTCGCACTTCCCCTTTCCCCCGAGTCGCACTTCCCCTTTCCCCCGAGTCGCACTTCCCCTTTCCCCCGAGTCGCACTTCCCCTTTCCCCCGAGTCGCACTTCCCTTTCCCCCGAGTCGCACTTCCCCTTTCCCCCGAGTCGCACTTCCCCTTTCCCCCGAGTCGCACTTCCCCTTTCCCCCGAGTCGCACTTCCCCTTTCCCCGAGTCGCACTTCCCCTTTCCCCGAGTCGCACTTCCCCTTTCCCCCGAGTCGCACTTCCCCTTTCCCCCGAGTCGCACTTCCCCTTTCCCCCGAGTCGCACTTCCCCTTTCCCCGAGTCGCACTTCCCCTTTCCCCCGAGTCGCACTTCCCCTTTCCCCCGAGTCGCACTTCCCCTTTCCCCCGAGTCGCACTTCCCCTTTCCCCCGAGTCGCACTTCCCCTTTCCCCCGAGTCGCACTTCCCCTTTCCCCCGAGTCGCACTTCCCCTTTCCCCCGAGTCGCACTTCCCCTTTCCCCCGAGTCGCACTTCCCCTTTCCCCTGAGTCGCACTTCCCCTTTCAGCCGGCTCGCACTTCAACTTCCCCACAGGGCGCTCATCGGCTTCACCCCAGGTCGCACAACCACTTCCCCCTGGTCGCTCCACCCCTTTTCCACGGGTCGCACACCCCCTTCCCCTCCACTTCCCCTACCCCCGCAGGTCGCTCCTCCCCTTTCTCCCCGGTCGCCATTCCAACCCCCCCCCCCATGTCGCTCCTCCCTGTCCCCCAGGTCGCACCCCCCCTTTCCCCCATGCCACACCTCCCTGTTCCCCCCCACAGAGCACCTTATCACTCCCTCACAATGCACTACCCCTCCCATCCCTTTGCTTCCTCTCCCCTCCAATCCCTTTTATTCTCTTCGCTTCCCATCCCTCGCCTTCCCTTCCACCGACCTCCCTGCACTTCCTATGCCCCTCTCCTCACATCCCTCTCCGCTCTCGTCCCGTCCCCCGCTCTCCCCTCCCTCTCCGCTCTGATCCCTAACTCTGCTCACTCATCCCTGCCCCGCCATCCCTCGTGACATGTCCTCCCCTCTCTCATCCCTCCCTCTTCACTCCGCTCGCATCCCGTCCTCCCAGCTCTCATTTCTCGCGGATCTATCTCATCCCGTCCACCACTCTCTCATCCCGTCCTGCGCTCTCCCATCCGTGACTCTCCGGTCTCTTCCCGTCCTCCGCTCTCTCATCCCTCCCTCTCTGCTCTCATCCCGCCCTCCCCTCTCTCAACAACTTCCCTCTTTGCTCTCATCCCGTCGACCGCTCTCCCATCCCTGCCCACCCATCCCTCATCCCGTCCGCCGCTATCTCTTCCCTTCCTCTCCTCTACTATCCCCTCCTCCGCTCCCTCACGCCTCCCTCTCCTCAACTATCCCGTCTGCCGCTCTCTCATCACTCCCTATGCCCGTGTTCCCCACTCCCCCGCAGGGCACGTGGCCCCTGTGTCTCGTGGGGGCCGTGCTCTACCTTGCGCTGCAGGTGCACGGGGCTCAGGCTCAGTCTCAGTCTCAGGTGTGAGATACACTGTACCCGGTGGTCAAAGCATGTGCATCAGGTGCTTTACCATGTGCCACAGTGAGTAATGCGCCTCAACGGAACGCCCTCACACGTCCCCCCCTCCCTTCTCTCATCCCCTCCTCCCATCTCTCCTCCCCGCCTTCCCTCCCTCACCCGCTCCTCCCATCGCTCATCCCCTCCTCCCCTCTCTCATACCCTCTTCCCTCTTTCATCCGCTCCTCCCCTCCCTCATACCCTCCTCCCCTCTCTCATCCCCTCCACCCCTCCCTCATCCCCTCCCTCTTTCTCTCATTCCCGCCTCCCCATCACTCCTCCCCTCCTTCCTTCTCTCATCCCGTCCTCCCCTCTCTCATTTCCTCCTCCCCTCTCTCATCCCGTCCTCCCCTCTCTCATCCCCTCCTCCCCTCTATCATCCTCTCCTCCCCTCTCTCATCCCTTGCTCCCCTCGGACCCCCATGTTCCTCCTTCCTTCCCCTCATTTCCCCCCTCCAAGCCTATCACCGCCTATCCTCCTTCCCCGTCTTTCACCCTCCTTTTTAAACTCCTCCCACCTATATTCCACCCCCCTTGGACGCCCACTTCTTTCAACCCAATTCCCATGTTGCCCCCCTCATGCCCCCTCTCTTCCCCCCTCCCCCCCTCAGTCCCATTTATCCGCCCCTGGTTCCCCTCTTTTCTCCCCTTGTTTTCCCCCTTTATCCACCATATTTCCCACTCTGGTTCCACTGTTACCCCCCCCCTGCTTCCAATCATTTCCCCTCCTACTTCCCCTCCTGTCGCCACCTGCTTCCATTCACTGTCTCCTTGCTCTCTTCGTGTTTTCCCGCCCACAGAATGCCAACACCTCCGAGTTCATGGTGCAGGCCACGGGGCTCACCGCCATCCGTTCCTCCCCTCATTCATCACATCCTCGCTCTCATCCTTTCCTCCCATCTCTCATCTCTCCCTCGTCTCTACCATCCTCTCCCCCATTATCCTCCTCTCCCCCCCCCGTCCCCCTCTCTCACTATGTCCTCATCTCTCACCTGGTCCTCCTCTCTCCTCCCTGCCGTCCCTTCTCCCTTCTCTTCCCCTCATGTCCCCCAATCCATTCCCTTATTTCCCCGCTCGTAACCCTCTTTCCATTTCCTCTGTCCCCCCGGCTCTCGATTCTCTAAAAAAGGTGCTCTTGGTAACACCCTTGCATCCCATCAGTACACCCACTCCTACCCCTCTCTACCCCCCCTGCTACCCCTCTCTTCCCCCCCTGCTGCGGCTCGTTTTCTCCCTGTCCTCTGTAATGCCTTTGCCTTTAGTCAATGTCCCCTCTTGCTTGCACCCAGTCACTCCCCTGTATCCCGTCCCTTCTCTGTTTATATATTCCCATCTTCCAATCCTCCCCCGTCTCATACCCCACCAGCCTCTCGCAACTTGTCTCCCCCTCTCTCATCCCTCCCCATCCTCTCGCATCCCGCCCCCCCCTCTCTCATCCCTCCCCATCCTCTCACATCCCATCTCCCCCTCGCTCATTCCTCCCCCTCCCGCGAAGGCACTTCGCCAGCGCCCATGCCTTCGCGCCTCATCCACGCCAAGGATGGGCGCCCGCTGGTCTGCAGGCAGCTTTCCCAGACTCTCGGCCGCCAGCAGTAGTCAAGGGGAACTGGAATAGGGCACGGGCCAGATCGGCGGAAAGGGTAGGAGGAGGGGTGCGGAGATGGGGGGGCGGGGTGGTACGCGGCATAACTGAGACGCGTCCCGGAAACTTACCTCGTCGTCCATGCACTTCCCGTCCCCACTTCTGTAACCCATTCCCATCACTTCCCCTCCATTCACGCCGTATCTCCTCGCATACTCCCTTCAATCCTCCCTTCGCAGATTCCATCCCTTCCTCTTGCTCTGTCCTCCCTTCCCCACCATCTCTCCCCCCCCTTCCCATCCATACTCCCCACTACACATTGTGCAGGGTGAAGCTGTGTCTTATGAAGTAGATGCACTGTCCCGCTGCATCTCTTCCTCGGTCTCCTCAAGATCATCCTCGCAAACCATGCGTACCCCTTCCGGCCGACGACGCATGAGAGCCCTACAGCGTGGCCTGCCCAAAATAGTGACAAGGATGAATGAGCGAGGGTTAAACATGTAACTAGCAGTGTGGGGATGTTTTCAAATGGAGCAGGTTACCTAGCAGTGTGGAGGCGTAGTAATAGAAAACCGGAATGGCTTACCTAACAGGCCCGCCAGTTCGGGCGCGCTTAGCTGTGCCTCTGCCCGTCCCTTGCCGGTGCGACATTTGCATCCAGCCCTCACACTAATGGCAGCTGAGAGTGGTAGACTGGTTTGCGAGGGTGGGGAAGGGTGACGAGCATGGAGGGGGAAGCTGGAACATGTGGTGTGCCAAATCATGCAGTGCAAAACGACAAAGCATGGGGCCCGGTCAGTGTGCGGCAGTTGGGAGACAACATTGCTAAAAAAGGGAGAGGGTGCAGACGAGGGCAGAGAGGGGCCAGGACAGGGTGCAACACGAGGGTGTGACAGGGGCAACAGATTACTGAGGGGAGAGAGGGAAGGGAGGGAGGGGAGTGCAAGGGGTCGAGGGAGGGCAAGGAGGGGAGAGAGGGCTTTGAAGGGATAGAGGGCTGGGAGCCGAAGAGGGGGAGGAGTTGGTTCGGGAGTTGCATCTGTGAGGGGAGGAGAGAGCAGGGGGTTGAGAAAGGGAAGGCGGAGGGCGGAGTAATGCAGGGTGGGGAGTGAGGGAAGTCAGAGAGGAAAGGGGATGGAGACGAGAGAAGGAAGAGGGAGGAGAGAGGCAAGGAAGAGTTGGCGTGATGTACCTGGTTCGGATCTGAGAGTGTTGATGTCACACCCCAAGAGTGGCGCGGCGGCGGTCCGGGTCGAGGTTTGGAGGCTGTGAGCAGAGAGGGGCAGAGGGGCCAACGAGGAGGGCGCTGTGCTGGCGAGGGGAAGAAGGACAGGGTTTAGGGTGAGAGTAGACATAGTGAGAAAGTGATTTAGGCGCAAGGGGACAGTCGACGGCGTAGCGTGATAGGGCAAGGGGGGGAGCATGGAGGTAGCTGCGTGAGAGGGCACAGGGAGCGAGAGAGGGAAGAAGGGTGTAGACAAGTGAGGGAAGTGGGAAAGCAGGGAGTATGGCAGGGAGTGCAGTCATGGGGGAAAAAGGGTGTAAGGAAGCGAGGGAACGGGGGGAAGAAGGGGGGAAGACAGAAACGGGAATGGGCGGAGCAAGGGTGTAGAAAGGGAGGAAAAGGGGGGAGAGGGATGTAGGGCGGAGAGGGTGGAACGGTGGGCGATCGGGGGTAAGGCCGAGAGGGGATAGGGGGAATAAGTGTGGATGGCAGAGAGAGGATAGGGGTAAGGGGAGTGTGTAGGCCAGAGAGGGGATACAGGGAAGATAAGGGTGGGCAGCGAGGGAAAAGGGAGAAGAAGGGAGAGAGGGAGTGCGGGCTGCGTAAGGGAGCATGTAGGTTGCTGCGAGAGGGGGAGACGGGGAGAGTGGGAAAAAGGGAGTAGGGAAGTGAGGGTTGTGGGGGAAGCAGGGAGTATGGCAGAGCAGCTCTGGGGAATAATGGTGTAAGGAAGAGAGGGAACGGGGGGAAGAAAAGCGTACGAGGATGGGAAAAAAGGGGGTAGAGGGGCGTAGGGCGGAGAGGGTGGAAAGGCGGAAGTGTTATAGTCACAGTAGGCTTCAATGTGCCTAAAACGAAGGATAGAGTGCACAGTCGGATTTCTGCACAGCGGCTTTAAACGTTCATAGCGATCTGCTCACAACTCCAACTTGGATCTGGAGCGCCTTAACGTTGCCTACAATAGGCAATTTAGATCGCACGATTTCATCAAGAATTGACGACACAGCGTCGGTTTGAACGAACGGCACTATGGCAGCCACTATAGTCTTAGAAACACAAATTAGGAAGAGTTGGAAGAGTTACGAGTTGGGAATGACTCCCAGCTCCTACAAACCCCAAGAGCCGAGATACAGTGATGTGGAACAGTGCCACACTGTCCCCAACCACGAAGGGTCTCGAAACTACCCTTCACTAGGGTCTACACCAACTGAAATGTTACACTACACATTGTAATGTAACGAATCTTGATATCTTGAGGTGTACCCTTTTGGCGAGCTTCGAAATCACTTGAAACTTGCAACCAAGGCTCGGGTTCTTCATCACAAACTCATCCTTGAGTTCTTGATGGGTCTGCTGCACACACCTGCGACACGCCGAACCAGGGCTGACTATTCAAAAAAATCCAGTCTGATGTTCTGGGGGCTCTGAATTTTTTTAGTCTGAGGCATATTTCCCAGAGAATGGCCACTCTGATTTTTCAGGTTCCGCAAAAACACAAGTCTGAAGTACTCAGAACACACTACAACCACTGCAGTACAGTACTGCCACAAATGTAGCACGTGGGGCGCAACGCTAACCAGCTTCCCTCGCTGACACCGCGTAGCTGCAGTGATGGTCCCGCGTGAGTGGAAGAGTGAGCCAAGTTGGCAGATTTCTAAGGGAAAAGGGTGGCAAAAGTTGCCAAGGACAGATTCTGCGCGTGACAGCGCCATGAAGTGTGTTCGTACACTGGCAACATATGACGTAGCGGAATGTACGTAGAAATCACAGATCCGCATTTCAGGATCCGTACTCCCTGTAGTATGAAGACCCATTATCGGCTAAGTCAGTACTCTGAAAATCTCAGGATCCAAAACCAAGTAAGTCTGAGGCACTCATGTTTGAAAATCTTACAAGTCTGAAAAATCAGGATCCGTAGGAAAATACCCTGAGATTTCAGACAATCAGACTATTTTAGTCTGATAAAGTCAGCCCTGCGCCGAACGTTCGACAAGCGACAAAATAGAAACCGCGCACGACAAAATAGAAACCGCGCGGGACACACAAAATGACCGCGTTACACGCGACTAGCGATAATTCGCTATAGACTTGACACACACACACTCGACATCATGACCCATCATACACACAATATTGTGAGCATGAAATATATATTTATTTCATGCCCTCATTCCATTCCATGCACACACGCATGCACGCACACGGACAACAAGCCGAGTGCAAACCGTAGGGTTGCACCAACAGGAAGAAGGGGGGTAAGGCAGAGAGGGGATGGGTGGAAGATGGGTGCCTGGCAGAGAGGGGATGCAGGGAAGATTGGTGTGGGCGGCGAAAGGAAAGGGAGAAGAAGGGTTCCAGGCAGCGAGTGAAAGGGGGAAGATGGATGTAAGGTTGTGAGGGGACAGGTGGATCAAGGGGTGTAAGGGGGTGAGAATGTGTAAGGGGATAGGGGTAAGGGTGATAAAGGATGTGGGGAGGTGGGGGAGGGAGGGAAAGGGGATAGGGTTGGTGAGAGGCAGGGAGGGAAAGGGGATAAGAAGGGTGGGAGGCAGGGAGGGAAAGGAGATAGGAAGGGTGAGAGGCAGGGAGGCAAAGGGGATAAGAAGGGTGAGGAGCAGGGAGGGTAAGGGGATAAGAAGGGTGAGAGGCAGGGAGGGAAAGGGGATAAGAAGGGTGAGAGGCAGGAGGCAAAGGGGATAGGGTTGGTGAGAGGCAGGGAGGGAAAGGAGATAGGAAGGTTGAGAGGCAGGGAGGGAAAGGGGATAAGAAGGGTGGGAGGCAGGGAGGGAAAGGGGATAGGGTTGGTGAGAGGCAGGGAGGGAGGGAAAGGTGATAGGAAGGGTGAGAGGCAGGGAGGCAAAGGGGATAAGAAGGGTGAGAGGCAGGGAGGGTAAGGGGATAAGAAGGGTGAGAGGCAGGGAGGCAAAGGGGATAGGGTTGGTGAGAGGCAGGGAGGGAAAGGAGATAGGAAGGTTGAGAGGCAGGGAGGGAAAGGGGATAAGAAGGGTGGGAGGCAGGGAGGGAAAGGGGATAGGGTTGGTGAGAGGCAGGGAGGGAAAGGGGATAGGGTTGGTGAGAGGCAGGGAGGGAGGGAAAGGGGATAAGAAGGGTGAGAGGCAGGGAGGCAAAGGGGATAGGGTTGGTGAGAGGCAGGGAGGGAAAGGAGATAGGAAGGGGGTAAGGCAGGGAGGGAAAGGAGATAGGAAGGGTGAGAGGCAGGGAGGGAAAGGGGATAAGGTTGGTGATAGGCAGGGACAAGGTGGGATAAGGGGAGTGAGGCAGAGTGGTATGAGGGGGAAAGGGGTATAAGGCAGAGAAGGGAAGGGGGAAGAAAGGTGTAAGGCGGAGGGGGGAGAGGGGGAGGACGGGTGCAGTGTAGAGAGTGACATGGGGGAAGCAGGGAGTACGGCAGAGAGGGATAAGGCGGATTAGGGAGAAGAAGGGTGTTTAGTAGACAAGGGGGAGGGGGACGCATGGTGTAGGGAAGAGAGGGGAAAGGGGGAAGCAGGGCGCAAGGCATACCAGAGAGAGGGGGAAACAGGGTGTAGGGAAGAGGGGGAAAAGCGGTTTAGCAGGACGATAGGGAGAGTACGCTTGGTGGGGAAGAAGGGTGTAAGGTAGAGAGGGGAAGGGGGCGAGAATGGTGAAGGGAAGAGAGGGGAAAAGGGGGCAGAGGAAAAAAAGGAGGAGGGGAAAAGGGGGATGAAGGGCGTAAGGCAGAGAGGGTGTAAAAGCGGAAGAAGGAGGTATGGCAGTGTGGGGAATAGGGGAAGAAGGGCGGGACGGCAGAGAACGCATGGTGGGGATTGAAGGGTTTAACGATGTGCCCGAAAAGGGGGTATAAGGGTGTAGGGCCGTGATGGGAGAGGGGGAAGAAGAGTGTAGGGAAGAGAGGGAAAAGGGGGAAGCAGGGTGCAAGGCACCGAGGTTGGAGACATGGACGAAGGTGGTAATGCAGAGTGGGGAAAGGAAGAAGAAGGGTGTGAGGCAGAGAGGGGAAAGGGGGAAGCAGGCGTTAGGCTGTGAACTCATGGTGCAATGAGAAAAGTGTAAGGAGAGTGGGGGAAGGGAGACGCAGGGCATAAGGATGTGAGGGGAAAGAAGAAGTAGGCTGAAGTGAAGAGAGGGAAAGGGGGGAAGGTGGGCGTAAGGCCCAGAGGGTGGAAAGGAGGTTGAAGGGGGTGTGGCAGAGTGGAGAATGGGGGAAAAAGGTTGTAAGACCTCTAACTCATGGCGGGGGAATAAAGGTGTAAGGATGTGAGTGAACGGTGGGGGCATGGGCGTAAGGCAGAGAGGGGAAAGGGGTTCAGTAAGGTGTAAGGAAGAGAGGAAAAAGGAAGTAGCACTGTGTAAGGCACTGAACGCATGGTGGGGCAAGTAGAGTGTAAGGAGAGAGGGGAAAGGGGGAAGATGGGAGGGAGGCAGAGAGGGGAGATGGGAAAGACGGGTGTAGGGTGGAGAGGGAAAAGGGGGAAGAAGAGTGTAAGGCGTTGAGGGGATAGGTGGAAGAAGGGGGTAAGGGAGTGAGGAAAGAGGGAGAAGGAGGGTGTACAGCGGAGAGGGGAGAACAGGGTGGCGGGTTGAGAAAAGGAACAAAGGGGACCAACGGTGCATTATCTGGTGGTCAAAGGTGGAAGGGGGCTGAAGAGAGCAAGGGAGATAGGGAAAAGGTGGAAGTAGGGGAGTAAGGCAGAGTGGCGTAAAGCAGAGAGGGGGAAGGAGGAGGAAGAGCGTATGGAAGTTGGGAAAAGGGGGAGACTGGCATAAGGCAGAAAGGTGGGAATGGCGGACCGGGTAAGGCAGAGAGGGGACAGGGGGAGGAAGGGTGTAAGGCAGAGAGGGGATAAGGGGGAGTAGGATGGAGGGCAGAGAGGGAAAGAGGGGAAGCAGGGCGTAAGGAAGAGAACGGGAAGAAGGGGGTAAGGCCGAGAGGATGGGGGGAACAAGGGCGTAAGGCAAGGAGGGCAGAGGGGGAATAATGGTGTAGGGAAGACAGGGGAAAGGGGGAAGCAGGGCGTTATGCAGGGGACGCATGGTGGGAGAAGAAGAGTGTAAGATTGAGGGCGAGCGAGGGGAGGATGGGCGTAAGGCAGAGGGGGGTTAGGGGGGAAAAGAGAGTAAGGCCGACAGGTGAAGGGTGGAAAGGGTATGTGACGATGGAAGAACGAGACGCGGTCAGTGCGGAATGGAGATGCTCGCAGAGGGGCGGGGAGTGGAGTAGCCGCAATGTGCGAATGAAGGGGGCGCGGAAATTCAGGAACAGGCACCCGACATGACGATGAGGCATACCAAAGCAGGTGGTGTCGCCGTACCTCGCAATCGCTCAGCACAACCGCGACTTAGCAGCTGATTTTCTGAACTCGCCGCCGCTTGGTGTTGCTGCTCGTCCGCCCGTTGCGCTAATGCCAGCAAGCTACGGTCCGCCCTGCCTAAACCAAAGCAGGGGGGGGGAAGGAGGGGAGGTAGGGTGGAGACGTCGGGGGAGCACGGGGGAGAGGGAGTTTAGGGTTGCAAAGGGGGAATGGACGGGGGCTGCTGCTGCCAAATCTGCTTAGCAGGGAGATGCAGGTGGGTGTCGGAGTGGTGAAGGCGTGGGCGACTTCATGGAGCGAGCGTGTGTGACGGAGGGAACAGCGTCGCGTGCCCGAAGGGAGGGGAGTGAGCGTGGGGATGAATCAGGGGAGTGCGCGGGGGCGGACGAGGGGAGTGTGCGTGGGCGAAAGAGGGGAGTGCGCGGGGACGGCCGCGGGGAGTGAGAAACGGCGAGAGAGGGGAGCGCGCGGGGGCGGACGAGGGGAGTGTGCGTGGGCGAAAGAGGGGAGCGCGCGAGGGCGGAAGAGGGTAGTGTGCGTGGGCGAAGAAGGGGAGTGCGCGTGGGCGGACGAGGGGAGTGTGCGTGGGCGATGTGAGGGAGGGAGCGATGGCGACGTCGACAGGGTGGGCGCGCGATGTGGGGCACAATAAGTGGGGTTGTACGATTCCTCTGCTCACCCTGGGGATTTTCGTTGATCGCGCGGACGTCCTCTCGCATGTATGGGGATATCGCGTGTAACTTAGCGATAAACGTGGATCGCGATGGTTCGCCAATAAAAGAGTCGTGTGTCCGCGAACAACACTACACCCTACTCGAACGAAATGCGTGCGATGGGCGGGTGAGGAGGCGAGACGGTTAGACTAGCTAATCTGCGCTCTTATTGCTGTGTTGGCTGGCGTCATTGTGGCCAAGTGATAACATCGTGTGTGAGGGACCCTGCTTTAGATGGTCGTTGCGTTTGGGTTCACAAACTGCTTTGCGGAACTCAAGTTCCCAACTCCCAGCGGGGGCGCAACAGCTGACGACGGGGGAGAAATACATGGCGCAAGTACGCCAACACTATTTTTTTTTTACGATCGATTTGGGCATATTTTTTTTCCATATTTTAGTTATTTAAAATAAAATGTGAAATAAAAAAACAGGATGCACTAGTCGCTAGCTACATGACCAGTAAGTATTGTCTACATTCAATTGTGATGTGATGGTAGTGATTTTTCTGTTCGCACTACGGCATATTTTTGTATGTCGGATGGTATAGTGGTAATTACGTGACTGTCATGAAATGCATATTTGTTATAAATTATACACTTGTGCTTAGATGAATATAATAATACATGAATGAATATAATGATACATGCTTGCTTGAATGAATATAATGATGCAAATTTTATAAATGCATTATGCAATGATGACAATAATGCTTCAGTATGCATAATGTTTGATGTTGAAATACATGCATACTAGTCTATGATATAAATGCGTGAAAGCTAACGATCCAAAAACTATGCTATCGCATCCCCTGCCTAGCATGGGGGGGAGCTAACAGCATAATCCTTGAACAATCAGCAGTCACATGAAACAACACAATCTGTGAACTCTAAAAAGATGGTCAACTCTATCATCTCCAGCTCAGAAGGGCTCCCGACAGGCGCGCCAATGAACCTTCTAATGAAATGATAGACCTGATTCACCCTTTTAAAACCCACAGACATGCATTGTCATTGCAATGATACATGAATGCACACTTAGACAAGCAAACACATTCACAAGAACCAAACACATGAACAGCAAAAAAACGAGCCAGAATGTCAGAATCCCAACCACTAGACTATTGGGATAAAAGGGCTTGTTTCAGTAGCGGGTCAGTGCGCCCATAACCCCCCCAGGCAAACGCGCCTGTAACCCCCCTAGGATCGATCGGGGATCTCACAGTGTAGCTCTACTGACACCCCCCCACACTGGGAGGCCCAGGACTGAGCACAGTGGCAACGGCCAACATGTGCATACACCGGGATTCGAACCCGAGACCGCTCTGATACCATGTCAGAATCCCAACCACTAGACCATTGGGATAAAAGGGCTTTTTTCAGTAGCGGGTCAGTGCGCCCATAACCCCCCAGGCAAACGCGCCTGTAACCCCCTTAGGATCGATCGGGGATCTCACAGTGTAGCTCTACTGACACAGAAACCCACGAAAATACATAAAACATGCAAACAAAGTAAAAATGGCAATATGGTAAATCCTATAAGTGACAACTACAAATTCTCCATATTGGACTCGTCTTCCGGATTAGCAAGACTCCTGAGAACAAAAAAAGAAAAAAAAAAAGATACAGAGAAAAGGAAATCATAGAAAACTGTTAGACATGAATAATCAGGATACAAAATCACGGATGATGAAAAGGTGGAAGCAGAAAACAGAAGCGGAAAACGAAAACAGCAAACTGAAGCAGTAAACATAATGGAGGAAGGATGAAAGGAAGTATGGAAGGTAGGAGGGAAGGAAAGAAGGACGGACGGGAGGAATGAGAGAGCGAGAGCGAGTGCGAGAGAACGAGAGAGAGAGAGAGAGAGAGCGAGAGAGAGAGAGAGAGAGAGAAACGAGAGAGAGAGAGAGAGAGAGAGAGAGAGAGAGAGAGAGAGAGAGAGAGAACGAGAGAGAGAGAACGAGAGAGAGAGAACGAGAGAGAGAGAACGAGAGAGAGAGAGAGAGAGAGAGAGAGAGAGAGAGAGAGAGAGAGGGAGAGAGAGAGAGAACAAGAGAGAGAGAGAGAGAACGAGAGAGAGAGAGAGAGAGAGAGAGAGAGAGAGAGAACGAGAGAGAGAGAGAGAAAACGAGAGAGAGAGAACGAGAGAGAGAGAACGAGAGAGAGAGAACGAGAGAGAGTACGAGAGAGAGAACGAGAGAGAGCACGAGAGAGAGAACGAGAGAGAGAGAACGAGAGGGAGAGAATGAGAGGGAGAGAACGAGAGAGAGAGAGAGAGAGAGAGAGAGAGAGAGAGAGAGAGAGAGAGAGAGAGAGAGAGAGAGAGGCACTAGGAACTAGTCCTTAGCCTCTCTCAAGCCTCTCTTAAGCCTCTCTTAGCCTCTCTTCCCTAGTATATAAGGCCTAGGAGCTCTTGTTTCCAGTCATTGTGTTCTGTTGAGTTCCTTTCACTCTCAGATTCCAGCGGCTCGCGCCGGCCGCCTTCGGCGGCCGCCGCTCGCTAGCGCGGCCTTCGGCCGCGCGTGAGGGGTGAGAAGGAAACTAGGAGAGACAACACATGAGCAGGAAGGCATACAACATGGGGCAGTAGCAACAACAACAACAACAACACCCCCAGGGTGAACTTCAACGCCATGGGGAAGCCCAAGGGCCAGCCCAAAACCAAGGTGGCTGGCAAGGGAAAGAAAGTGGCTACTCGGAGAGGATCCAGCATAACCGCCCGTCCATCCAGCGCAGGACGGATGCTGCTGCTGACACGAGGCCGAGTGGTGCCAGCAAGCTCCAGCAAAGCCAGGGGGCCGGGCCCGAGAGCAGCGCCAGGGGAGCCAGGCAAGTACCCAATCAGGGGGAGGAACTGCTGCAACTCCGCCGCGGCAGCCTCCGCCGCCGCCAGCTCCGTCGGCAGCAGACCCTGGATCTCCAGCCCTTGCCGCTCCAGGCACAGGTGGAGCTGGTCGAGGAGGTAAGACAGCAGGGACAAGCACGTCCCCACGTTCATTGCGCGCTCTGCGACGCCATCAGGGGAGCCCTCGCCCGTCGGACTCCATGGCGCGTCAGGAACCACAGCTGGAGCTGGCGGCGACGCTGGAGGAGCCCACTGCCCCCACGGTATCGGCACCTCGCGCCCACCAACGAAGAGGCGAGGGAAGGCGCCCGCGGACGGACCATCCTGGGGAAGGGGGGGGTTACGGGGAAGAACAAACGGAGGGGCGGGTGACACGGGGGGTGAACGTCGCTGGGGCTGCAATGGTGGCGGAAACCAATGGCGAGAAGGCGGTCGAGGGGGCGGGGGCTGCGGGGGCGGTGGCTGAGGCGGCAGTTGCGGTGGTGCCTGGCGCTGCTGCTGCTGACGGGACAGCCGCTGCCTCTGACGGCGGCTCAGTTTCACCCTCTGCCACCCCCCTGGCTGCATCGCGGCTGGCTGAGGAGCGGGTGCTGGTTGCGGAACCGGGACAGCAGGAGGAAGAGGGGGCGGGGCTGGCGGCGTCCCCGGCGCCGGTGGTTGCGGCGGTGATCGCTGCGGTTGTGACGGCGGCGGTGGGAACACAGGATGGTGGAACGAGCGCGGAGGGAGTAGGGGCTGCCGCTGAGTTCGCCGGGATGCCTGTTGCTGACGAGGGCGCAGGAACGCAGGAGCGCGACCAGGCGGCGGACGGAAGACAGGGCCGCGGGAAGAGCGCCGCTGCTCCCGCCGCCTGCGGGAAAAAGGGGAAGCGGCCCCGCGCCCAGCCAGCAGCAAGGCGGCCTGGAGCAGGACTGAGGCCTGGTCCCCCGGGACCCCTCCTGGGCTGGCTGCGGCAAGGGCAGTCGCCACAAGAGCCAGGGCTTCCGTCGTCATCAAGGGGCGCGGCGGCGGTACAGCAGGAGCCACAGGTGCCAGTGGCAACGCCGTTCGTGATGCAGGTAGCACCAACGCAGGGGCCGGAGGGTTCCAGCAGCGGTGCCGATGGGGCGCCCCCAGCGACAGTTCCAACGGCGGCAGCGGCCGGCACGTGTGAGGCAGTGGCGGCGACGACCGGCGTGAGACGCTCGGCTAGACTCGGTTCCGTCACCTGGGGACCGCCACGGGGCGGTCGAACTCCGTGGATGCCGGCAGGCCGCGGGGGCAACGCAACGGCGGGAACGACGGGAAATCTGCGCGGGGGCCTAAGGGGAGGCAGGGGAGGGCGCAACGCAGCACCCAGAACTGAGATCCCTGCTAGAACGGGCCCTTGGCGGGAACGTCACGCCAGACCTGAGAGAGCAGCCTCAGACGAATGAGGAACCGGAAGCATCTGACAACAATGATGCCGATCCGGAGTTTATGGCTGGGGAGGACGAGGTTTCTGAGGAGATTTCACTGGATGATGAGGAAGCTCCGCCCAGACGGGACAACCCAGCACCACAAACACGAGAAGCGGCGGGGGGAATCCCACCAGCCTCTGTGGAGCCAGCGGAAGCGGCCACGGGAGACACTGATGTTCCATCGCCAGCCGACCTGGCTAGTGATGACGCCATCTGGCACATGGCGGGGGGGTGGAATGTGGACATTCTTCAGCGAAGTGATCAGCCATTCCTTGTCCGCCGTCTGCCAACTCAGCTTCTGGACCGATATTGTCTATGCATGCTGGCAGCTCTCCACCGCCTGGACAAAAATCCAAGCTGCCCAGGGGGATGGATGGTGCTGCTGTTCTTGCCGAGGCTCACCCTGAGGCCAGCACCCGAACCTGCTGTGGGGAGCCGCTGGGCAGCAATTGAGGCACGGCTGCACAAATTCCAGAGGGGCGAGTGGACTGACCTTTTCGAAGAGGCAGGGACCATACCCGCTATTGGTGCTCCGGTACGACACCAGGCTGACGAGGAAGGGGTTTGTGCTAGGGCGGAGGGGTTAATGAAAAAAGGTAACATTTCGAAGGCAGTGTCAGCTTTGCGAACGAGTCCCCTTGCCGAAGCAACTACAGCTACACTCGAAGCGCTGCTAGCGAAGCATCCTGCGGCGGAAAACCAGATCCCAGCCTGGGTTACCGGAATCACCACCTCTGACCTAGCAGCCCCGCTGGACACGCTGCGCGAAATATTGGCGAAGTGCCCGAACGGTGTTGGTGCGGGCCCTTCAGGCACATGTTTCGAGCACCTGAGGGACCCTGCCTTGGCCAACGAAGAGCTGCTACTGCTTTTCGCCAAGGTGGTCAATCAGCTGCTTAGCACTTTCCAACCCGGTCACGTGAGAGAGCTGCTGCTACCTTCCCGCCTCATCGCACTAGAGAAGCCGAACGGCGGAGTACGACCTATAGCGATTGGCGAGGCGATGCTCCGCGTAGTGGCGAAAGTGGCGTTACAAACTCTAGGACCCAAGATAAGGACCTTCTTCCTCCCAGTGCAGTTCGGTGTAGCAGTACCAGGAGGGGCGGAGTGCATCATTCACTCCGTCCGATCCCTACTCCGTGAGGATGAGACACGCATTGCGCTCCAGTTGGATGTTGAGAACGCCTTTAACAGCGTTGAGCGTTCGGCTTTCCTCGGGGCCCTCCAGTGGTCCAACCTTAGTCCTTTGCTTCCCCTCGTCCGCAACCTCTACGACGGCCCCTCACGCCTTCTCACCGATGCTCGTCTGGGAATCGACCACATCCGGAGCTCGCGAGGCGTCAGGCAGGGCGATCCCTTAGGCCCCCTATTGTTCGCGGCGGCCATTCAACCGGCTCTCTTAAGCATCTCGGCGACGATGCCAGAAGTCGCCGTGGTTGCATATGCGGACGACATAACCATAGTCGGACCGAGAGAAGCGGCGAGCAGGGCATTCGCGAAGATTGCAGGTGACCTCGCCGACTGCGGACTCCGCTGCAACATCACCAAGTCCTCGGCGTGGTGCGCCTTACAGGGAATGGAAGCAGATGAGCTTCCTTTGGGCCTGACTGCTGATCCAGGAGGCATTCGGGTCCTGGGTAGTCCGATCGGCAGCAGGGAGTTCTGCACAGGCCAAGTGAGAGCCTCGCTTGAGGATGCTGCGTCACCGCTCCACCTCATCAGCCGGCTCCACCCTCAGTCGGCCCTTCTGATTCTCTCTCGCAGCATCTCCCGCCGCATCTCCTACCTGCTGCGGACGACACCTGCGACGGCGCTGGGCTTGGAGGAGTGGAGGGATTGGAGTGAGGCATTGGTGGGCTCGGCCCTTTCGGCAGCGAAGCTGAACGTCCCAACGTCAGAGCTGGAGCAGAGCCTCCTGTGGCGCCAGGCGACCCTACCCGTTCGGCTCGGCGGCTTGGGAATCATTGACCCCATATCGGAGGCACCCGCGGCTCACATCGCCTCGGTGGCTGCTGCACACTCCCTCCTGCTGCGACTGGACCTCCCCTCAGACTGTCTGCTACACAGGGCCGTCACGCTGCTGGCCCACGACTGGACCCCCCCCCCCCCCGGATTTCAACCCACTGACAGCCCTGGAGGAGGGCCTCCCAGCCCAAGCACAGGCACTTCTCAGCCGATACAGAGCGGACAGTGCGGGCACGGGCAGTCTGCAGCTGGGCCTATCGAAGCAGATCAATCTGCAGCGGGCGGCGGATCTACTAGGCGACACTGTAGTGGACAGACCAGGCAGGCACTAGGGGACACGGGATCCGGCTGATAAGTCTGAAAGGGGTGGGGGCAGGCGACTGGCTTCATGCAGTACCGACGAGAGCTGACCTTACCATCTCCCCTGGTCAGTTCTCCTTGGCCCTAGGCCTCCGCCTAGGCATGGAACTGCCAGTAGCTGAGGTGTGCCCATGCAAGCGGCAGGGATCGGGAATTCTGGATAAGAGCTTGCCGAACCATCTGCTTCGCTGCCAGGATGGGGGGGATGCGGTGCGGACGCACAATGCCCTCGTGTATGCTGCGCTACGCATGGCGAATGAAGCAGGCTACAAGACCCTCCATGAGACCTCGGCCTTCTCGCCTCCTGTACTCCGGAAGCGGGCAGACCTAGTCATCCAAGATCAGGAGTCGGGAGAGACCTGGGTGACGGATGTCACTGTCACGGACCCGGTACTACAGGAGAGGGACGTGAGAGCACGTAGGCCGCCAGGCTGGGCGGCAGAGGAGGCCTCGCAGAAGAAGCATCGGCTGTACGAGGGGCGCCCGAGCTATGCTGGCTTCTTCGGCCTGGCGGTTGAGACTTATGGGGCGATGGCGGCTGACACCGTACAATTCCTTCGGTTGTTGGCAACCCATGCAGCCAAGAAAAAGTTTAGGCAGGGCAGACTCACCACCACGGCTGCTCGGCTCACGGCACATTACCGCCAGCGATGGTCGGTGATGCTGCAGCGCAGCCAAGCAATCTCCCTCCTGTCCAAGTCCAACCGAGCAGCAGAGGCGGCTTTCCCACAGGCAGCTGCAGACCCATGGGCCCCACGCTTGGCAGACCTCTGGCAGATGACGTCTGATGAGTACGAGGAGCGGGACGCTCCTGCTAGGGCACCTTAGACGACCGCGGGGAGAGAAAGGAGAGAGAAGGGGCGGCCAGGAGTAGGAGGGAGGGAGTGAGAACACAAAGGCACAGCCACAGGGCAGGAGGAAGAGCAGGGACTAAGGGAGGAGGAGAGCTAGAGGCCGGAAGGAGGGGCAGCTCTCTAGGGACTGGATTGGTGGGTGTTCCTGTGGGCCTGGATTGGTGGGTGCTCTGTCTGATCTCGTTTGGCTTGCTAGCATAGTTTCCAGTTTGCTTGCCTTGCTTAGACCAGTTAGTCCTTCCGCTATGCCATGCCTGTACCTTATGAACACTATCAATACATGACTGCTTGAGAGAGAGAGAGAGAGAGAGAGAGAGAGAGAGAGAGAGAGAGAGAGAGAGAGAGAGAGAGAGAGAGAGAGAACGGGCGAGAGAGAACGGGAGATAGAGAACGGGAGAGTGAGAACGGGAGATTGAGAACGGGAGTGAGAGAACGGGAGAGAGAGAACGGGATGTCAAACTTATATGCTATAGTTTGTGTAGGCTGTAGTGGGGTAGCTCATATGGGGTACAACACTTTAGGGTTTCCTACTTGTACTCCTCATGCTGCTCAATGCAACCATTCCTTGTTCTTTCATATGGTATAGAGCAGGTTCCCTAGTGGGAACGTTTCCTAGGGCCCACCACTGAAAAATTTTTCCTGCCCGGAGCGTGCTTCCCTCCTGCCCGAGTCGCGCCCCATGTGCCCTCCCTACTGTCGCGCCCCTAGCCCTTAGCGGCCCGTCGCGCCCTCCTCAGGCCCCTCGCGGCCCCCTTTCGCGGCCCCTCACGGCCCCTCTTGCGGCCCCGTCGTCGCCGCTCTAGGCCCCGTCGCCACCCCTCTAGGCCCGTCGCGGCCCCTTTGCGGCCCCGTTGCCGCCTCTAGCGGCCTCGTCGCCGCCCCTCTAGGCCCCTCGCGGCCCCTTCGCGGCCCCGTCGCTGCCCCTCTAGGCCCCTCGCGGCCCCTTCGCGGCCCCGTCGCCGCCTCTCTAGGCCCCGTCGCCGCCCCCCCCAGGCCCCTCGCGGCCCCTTCGCGGCCCCGTCGCCGCCCATTGCGGCCCCGTCGCCGCCCCCTCTAGGCCCCTTACGGCCCCTCTGCGACCCGTCGCCGACCCTAGCGGCCCCGTCGCCGCCCCTAGCGGCCCCGTCGCCGCCCCTGGAGGCCCCGTCGCCGCCCTTCGCGGCCACCTCGCCGCCCTTCACGGCCCCGTCGCCGACCCTAACGGCCCCGTCGCCGACCCTAGCGGCCCCGTCGCCGCCCCTAGCGGCCCCGTCGCCGCTCCTCGCGGCCCAGTTGCCGCCTCTACCGGCCCCTTCACCGCTGAGCCGCCCAGCAGCTGAGCAGCCGAGCCACCACGCCGCCAGCCGCCCAGCAGCCGAGGCGCCCGACAGCCGAGCCGCCCAGCAGCCGAGGCGCCCGACAGCCGAGCCGCCCAGCAGCCGAGGCGCCCGACAGCCGCGCCGCCGAGCCGCCTAGCAGCCGAGCCGCCGTGCCGCCGAGCCGCCCAGCAGCCGAGCCGCCCAACCGCTGAGCAGCCAAGCCGCCGTGCCGCCCAGCAGCCGAGCCGCCGTGCCGCCCTGCCGTCGGGCCACTACTGTTCCTACCGGCGCGCCCCGGCCCTACTCCCTTGGACTGGTGAGCTCACTCCATGCTAGGCCACTGCAGTCATGGCTACCCCCAGTGTCCTTACCTTTGACACTGAGGGTCGTGCTGTTGACTTTGAGGTCTGGGTCGATGACCTCCAGCTGTTCTTACAGTGCGATAGGGCAGACGGACTCTCCCTGTTCGATCTCACCTCTGGTGTCTCTCCTGCCCCGCCTGCTACTGCTGACAGCACTGTTCGCTCACAGTGGGCCACGCGCGATGCTGCTGCACGTCTTGCTGTGCGTCGCCACTTACCGACCACTGAGCGTGCGCACTTTAGCCAGCACAAGAGTGCTAAGACCTTGTACGACGCTGTAGTTGCACGCTACTCTTCCCCTGCCACTGCTGCGCTTAGCCGCCTCATGCTGTCGTACCTGTTCCCTGACCTTGCTGCCTTTCCCACAGTCGCTGACCTCATTACGCACCTTCGCACTAGTGACACTCGCTACCGCGCTGCGCTTCCTGCTGATTTCTGTGCCAAGAACCCCCCCCCCATGTACATCACCCTCTACTACATAGTCACCCGGCTCCCTGACTCCCTTCGCTTAGTCAGGGACCACTTCCTCTCAGTTTGCCCCACCACACTCACCGTTGACCTCCTCGAGGAGCGCCTCCTAGCAGCAGAGAAGAGCATAGTCGCTGTAGGAGCCTCTCGTGGTGACCCTCGCACCCCCGTCTTTGAGGGGTGTTCTCCCTCCCCCCTCTTGCCCTCTGTTGCTTCTGCTGCTGCGGCCGACCTCGTTGGTTTCGAGTCGGTCGGCTCTGCGTCTGCCCCTAGCGGGAAGCGCCGCACCGGCAAGGGCAATGGGGGCAAGGGCGTTGGAGGGGCTAGTGGGGGCGGTGGAGGTGGTGGTGGAGGCAGTGGAGGAGGTGGGGGTGGTGGTGGGAGTGGTGGCGGGGGTGGAGGTGTCGGTGGCAGCAGTGGAGGCGGAGGAGGCGGCGGTGGTGGCGGAGGGAGCGGAGGCGGCGGAGGTGGCGGAGGTGGCGGAGGTGGCGGAGGTGGCGGAGGCAGCGGTGGAGCTGGTCGCCGCTCTGCGCAGAGGAGTGGCTCCGGTGGTGGTCCGCGCCAGCAGCAGCAGCGCAGTCGTGAGACCCTGT